CAAATCCAGCAACTCCCTCTCCATTTTCTCTGTCAGGCTGTACATGGGCAGCAATACACATAGCTTTGTGGCAGCCAGAGAGTGAAGATTCTTCTAGAAGGTGATGTCAACAATGACAAAAACATTACTCTGCAGCTGCAGGTAGGCAACCAGAGTCCTGGAGCTAAGCAGAAATGTCAGACTTCAGAGGCATTTTGAGGAGAACTTTTATTTTAGATCAATGTCAATGTTGGACACATGGGCCTGTTTCTCTCTGTTTCACTAGTGCTTTGTCAGCAGCTCCAACTGCTTCAGTTTGATCTTTGCTTTCAGAAAAGATAGACCAATGAGTACTTTTTCAGCCATGACCTTGTAAATGTGACTACACTTATGCTCCCTTTTGGAGACGTCCTTTTCCTTGACCTCCCTTACTCACAAATAGAGTACTGCGGGTAAAGGCCTCTACCTGCAAATATTCTTGCAGGCCTTTCTGTGGAGCAGCTGGAGGTGCAGGCACTCTCTGCACCTACTCTCCTGGACTTTGTCTCACCTGGAAACAAGGGTGGAAAACTTGTGGCTGAAAGGACAATGGGCCAGCTCAGCTTGGCCCTTCTTTAAGGGAGGCTGAGATTGGACATTGATGGCCTAGAGTCCTGCCCCACAGCCATTCTCTGGACCTTCCCTTGCAGCCTGTCTTTGGCTCTGAGGGTCTCATATAGCTAAAGCTCCTTCAGTTGTGTCTGGTCCCTCCAGAATAGTCCATGCAAACCAGCCACCCATGTCCCCAAAGTCCCTCTGCCCTGCTCTGCACCTCTTTACCTTAATGGCACATCCTTGGTCAACCCTGGCTTGGGCTTCTCTCGCAGTCATTTTCTAGCCACTGTAAAGGATGCCCCCTTCAATAAACATTGTGTTTAAAAGTGGGGCCTGATCTTGGGGGTCTCTCTGAAGGGAGTGATTGCATGGTGCCCAGTCCCTGAGATTGGAAATGGTGTTGCTAGTCTGGTTTCCTTCCTGCTCTCTCACAGAGTAGACTGGAAACTATTAGGAAAAGTTGAGTTTACAAAAGATGTTACTTTTCTCATTGATATAGTGGTGATGGTGCTGGTACTGGGAAGTGTGCAAATGCCAGCCATCCCCAGGCAGCTCTCCAGCACCTTGAATATTTACTTGTTCTTTTGACCAACATTTAATGATACCCTCCCAAGCATCAGCCACCATGGTAGGCACTTACCCAAGAGATGGGTAAGACATGGTTCTTGTCTTTGAGGAAAAACTCTAGGGGAGACAGACATATGAATTATTGTGATATACTGTAGGTAAAGGTCAATAATAAAGATATTTTAAAAGTGCCAGAAAGCACAGAGGAGGGTGTGACCTATTATGTTGGGTATGGTGGGGAGTATGGATGAGAAGCTGTCAAAGTCTGTTTGGAGGGGATGATATTTGCACTTGGTCCCGAAGAGTGACAAGAAGACAAGAGAAGGACAGCAAGAGAAAAATTAGTGAGTGGAGGCCAGAGCTGTGAGAGAAAACATTTAGTTTGGGAACCAGAGACAGTTTAGAGTAGCTGGCGGACCACTTAGGGCAGCGAGATGGGCATGTAAGGCATTCAGTTAGAAGATCATCAGAAGAGGCAACATAGTGTAGGGGTCAAGAGCACAGCCCTGGAGCCGGACTAGCTGGGTTTGAGTTCCAGCTTCATGATTTACGAGCTGGGTGTCCTTGGCAAGTGACGTGTCTTTTTTGTGCTTCAGTTTTCTTACCTGAAAATGGGAAGAGTAGTACCCACCTTGTGTTTTTTTTTTTCTTTTTCTTGAGGACTAAATTAATTGATGCCTGTGTAATACTGAGAGCAGTGCTTGGCTCATAGTAAGTTTGATATGAATGTCAGCAACAAAGGCAAACAATATCAGTAAAAAACAGAAANGTATGGATGAGAAGCTGTCAAAGTCTGTTTGGAGGGGATGATATTTGCACTTGGTCCCGAAGAGTGACAAGAAGACAAGAGAAGGACAGCAAGAGAAAAATTAGTGAGTGGAGGCCAGAGCTGTGAGAGAAAACATTTAGTTTGGGAACCAGAGACAGTTTAGAGTAGCTGGCGGACCACTTAGGGCAGCGAGATGGGCATGTAAGGCATTCAGTTAGAAGATCATCAGAAGAGGCAACATAGTGTAGGGGTCAAAAGCACAGCCCTGGAGCCAGACTAGCTGGGTTTGAGTTCCAGCTTCATGATTTACGAGCTGGGTGTCCTTGGCAAGTGACGTGTCTTTTTTGTGCTTCAGTTTTCTTACCTGAAAATGGGAAGAGTAGTACCCACCTTGTGTTTTTTTTCTTTTTCTTGAGGACTAAATTAATTGATGCCTGTGTAATACTGAGAGCAGTGCTTGGTTCATAGTAAGTTTGATATGAATGTCAGCAACAAAGGCAAACAATATCAGTAAAAAACAGAAATTTCTTTTTCTTGAGGACTAAATTAATTGATGCCTGTGTAATACTGAGAGCAGTGCTTGGCTCATAGTAAGTTTGATATGAATGTCAGCAACAAAGGCAAACAATATCAGTAAAAAACAGAAACAAAAGCAAACCAACCACAACAAAACCCACACAGAAACCAACACCTGCAAAAAACTGATGAGGGCTGAATGAAGGCAGTGGCTGTAAAGGTGGGAGAGAAGTCAAATTGGAGATGGGATGTGCTGCTTCAGTTTTGTACTGAATAGTTGGGAATGCCCTGAAACATACACTTGGGTTGGAAATCCCATTTGAATAGAAGCACTAAGGTACAACTGCACCCTTGCATGTGGGCACACACACAGAGTAAGAGACCAAAGCTGAAAGCACACCATTTCTTTTCATTCACCCGAGAAGTGAGTTGACTGCTTTCAAAGGTAGAGAACAAATAGGGAATAGACTGTGCTGTACAGAAGCTTAGAACTGGCATTGGAAATGAAGACCGGCAAGTCTTCTGTTGAAGCCATCAGTTTTCAGTGTTTTTCAAACATCTTCAATCCATGTGGAGAGCTCACTGAACAGGCATCCGGTGACTGCCCCACACCTAGTGAAAATCTGTGGGTTGGCTTGACATGCATCTTATTTATCCAGGGCACACTTTTGGAGGGTCATTGGCTTCATGTGCATGCGTGTTGTGTGTATGTGGGTGTGTTGTGTGTGCATATAGATGCATATACAAGGGTACTTCAAAAAGTTTGTGGGAAAATGGAATCAAAAGATAATACTAATCTTTCCTTGAACCTTTTGAAGTACCCTCATATATTAATTCACATCTTCCCATTTCATTTCAAGCACTGAGCTAAATTCAGCCTATACATTATTCTGAGAAACCTTTCTTCTGTAAAAAGAAACTCTGATTCCAAAGGGGAGAAGGGGAGGCTGAAGGATAGTCATTGAAAATGAGATGGGAAATGGGAAGATATTCATGTTGTGGCTCCAAATTCCAGGTCTGATCCTTAGGGTCAGTGTTCATTGTTAAGCACAATTCTTCCTGATAACTGATTGGAAAGAGGAAAAGGGGGAGAGAGAGCATCTCACTGTCCCTCCAGTGAAGGTGTTTTAGTTCTCCCCGGCCATCTGAGCTAGGGGCAGAAGACCTTCCCTTCGGTTAGAGTTCCTTGGTGAAGATGACTTCTTCGTCCACTGGATGCTTTCCTGGGGTAGTTTCATTGATCCTCCAAGAACATCAAGTTACTGTGTATGAATAGCTCCCACAGAGGTGCTGAGTGTGAAAAGAACCCCTCCTCATTCCCTGTTGGGATGGGCAGCAGTGTGTTCACACCTGGGTCTGACACTATACTTGGGGAAAGGGTGGTAGACTGAGTGTACTGCAGTAGGGCACTGGGTAGGTGTCAGGTTTCCTATTGCTCTGTAGGCTGCTCGTGCTGGAGTCCTGAGCTCCACCAGGAGTCCCTCTGAGCTGCTGAGCAAGTGGATCTTCCAAGGGGCTCCTCGGCCTGCTCCACACAAGAGTTATAGGAGTTGTAGAGCCCCAGCCCCACAGACAAGACCAGCATCACTGCAGCCATCATCCAGACCACTTGCCAGTGCTGACACAGTTTGGGATACATGACTTGTAAGAAATGGGCCAATTCTTCAAGTTTGCTGTCAACGAAAAAAGTAGGTGGAGGGTTTAGTACAATGGGCAGTTATGTGATGCCAGACCCATACTTCTCTGTCTGGGGGATACCTTCTATACTGTCTAGAGCAATGGTTCTCAAACTCAGTTGTGTACAGAATCCCTTGGCAGCAATTATTCAAAATACCCCAGGTCTAGTGAATGAGAATCTCTAAAGTTATAGTCTAGGAATTGATAGTTAAATTTCCCCAGGTGATTTTGATGCCACCCGTCCATAGCCTTGATATAGGGAACTTCTGGTCTAGAACACTATCTTTACTTGTTTGATCATTCATCCACACATGCCCTCATCTATTTATGGGATGATTATTGATTAGTTCATGACACCCTCCCAAGCCCCAGGGGGTAAGGTTGGCTGATCCACATTTCCATGCATCCAGACAGGACCAGCTTCTTTTCTGACCTTAGCTCTATTTGTGATCAGTTCCAAGTTCTAGTCTGTCCCCTGCCTCAGTGCTCAGATGCATAATTTGTTGTTCTCTGTTCTATATCTGACTGTATCCAGAGTGGAAGAACTGAGCTAAACTCTCAGAAGAAGCTTGATGTCCAGTGATAAATGGACAAGGGATCAGATCAACCTCAAGAGCTCACTTTAAACACCCCAAGGACAATCAGAAGACTCTGATTCCTTCTGGCAACCTCTGGGTGGCTTCTTCAAGATGTTTTCTCAACCTCCTTAATATTCATTCTCTAATTTCTCCCTCTTCCTTTTCTTCCCTCACTCTTTCCACACTCTTTTTTCTCTTCTTTCCTTTCCTTTCATCTTTCTCTCCTTTTCTCCTTTCTCCCCTTCCATTTTTGCCCCTTTTCCCTCTTGTTCCCTTTCCAACTGCCTTGTCAACTTCTCCTCTCTCTTTGTGGCCCAGTGAAAAGACATTTGGTCAGACAGCCGCCTTTGAGGAGTCCATTCTATAATTCCCTGGAAAAGCTCTGCATACCTTCATTAAGCTAGAATTTCCTCCTGTGTTTAATCCCAGATCTATTTTTAAAAAAATATGAGAAACAAAAATACTAGGATTATCAAACTAAGGAGGTGGAGAAAGTGACAGATCATTAAGCTAGAATTTCCTCCTGTGTTTAATCCCAGATCTATTTTTTAAAAAATATGAGAAACAAAAATACTAGGATTATCAAACTAAGGAGGTGGAGAAAGTGACAGATGGGCTTTCTGTAGATCCTGAGGCTCACACAGACACTGCAAAACACAGGCCCTTTGCTGAGAAGTAGAGAGCTCTACTTCAGAATTAGTAGAAAATGGATGACTTGCAATAGGTTGAAAAACTCAACAAATACCCTCCTTAGAAAGGGACCAGCCTCAAGAGTGCCTGCCTTGGATGCTAGGGCCACAGGGAACACTGATTGGTTTCTTCTCCATTTGAGAGCCCCATCAGGTCATTTCAGGCACAATTAAGCAAAGCAAAAAAGTGAGCACATTAGCTGGTATGAAAATTACTGGATATTTTCACAACCATTGGGAAGGGAGAGCTTGGAACTGGAAGTTTATTTTCTCAGCCCTATTTAGATTCTATTCAGATATCATTGGATGTCAAAATGGAGTCCTTCGTGGACTGGATTTCTATGCTCCAAAACAAGCTTCTACGATGGAAAGAATCCCACTCTAACCCCACTCTTAAGCAGAGTTACAAAGGAGGAGGTCAAGATCTGGCTTTGTAACCCTTAGCTGGCACCCATATCTAGCCTATAAAAGGGGTTAGAAACAGAATTAGATTAGAAATAGACTTCCTTTGGAAGTCAATTTCTGGTTGTTATAAGCAAACTTCTGTTTTCTGAGAGTTATTGGAAAAGTAAAGGAACCTGCCCACATATCATCTTAACCCCATGACGCAGGTTTGAACAGGCGGTGGGAGAAAAGACAAAAGTTTTATGTTGTACCTTATGAGTCTCACTTGTTCAATGTATTACATAAGTGTCAGAAGACTGTGTTCTCTGTTTTAATATGGTTAAGATATTGGCTTGCTTCCCCCAAAGTTCATTTAAGCTTATCCTCCAGAGAGCAATATTTATAACAGATTACATTATTATGTATAATAGAGAAGAAACTTAGAGAAACAGACTTTAGTGTCTGGCGTTGAATCTCTTAAATAAGAGGTCAGCTGCTGCGCTTAGTCTAATGTTTTTAAAATGCACTAAGTAGGACATGGAACTTTTTTTTTTTTGTCTTTTTGTCTTTTTTCCATGTCCGGCAATGGATCGCAACCCTCAGTGTTGCCCCCGTACCGGCCCCGGCCCTTGCATTGGGACCACCACCCATGATTCTAATCCGAACTGGCCCAA